TAGGTCCTCATTTTTCCCCTCCCTCCCCGCTCCCCCTCCCGCATGAGCCCTTGATAGTTTATAAATGGGTATTTTGTCATCGACAAATTTCTTAACAATAATTTTGAGCCAAACATTAATTGCTTGTCTCCTGATACAATTTGATTAAAGTAGCATTTCTAAACTACACTAAGTAAATATTTTCATGTTTAGGTCATGTGACTAAATGTAAAATTGAAACCCATCACCATTGAGTCAACTATAATTTATAATAGACCCTATACAGGGTCTTTTACAATCTATTCCAAGATTGTAAATCATTACAGAACAGACAGCCTCATCTTGATCTTGTGGGTTTGAACTACTGACCTTGAAGTTAGCCACCCAATGCCTAACCCATAGTGCTACCAGGGTTCCGTAGTCACAGAATATTCTCATTGCCATCAAGTCCATCCAACTCAAGTGACCCCAGAGACAGAACTGCCCCTTTGGCTTTCTAAGACTTTTAAATATTTACTGAAGCAGATGGCCTCCTTTTCCTCCTGTGGAGCGGCTGGTGAGTTTGAGCCACTGACCGTCCTGTTAGCAGCTGAATACAAAGACTCTTAAGCCAGCAGGGATCCTACCTAGTTCAGTTCAATTCTAGTTTATGTCCTTGAAATGTAACACTAATTCAGATTGGTTAAGAAGTAGGATGAATCAACTCTAATCTGAAGTCTTTGACATGTAAAAGATTGTTTACTTGGCTAAGGAGCAGCAAAAATGGTTCAGAGTCCCAGGGATCAGCAATCTGAGGCGCTCCTACCATATGGAGCTCTTTTGGTACTACATGTGGTTCTGAAGCAAAACTGAAAGTGAAAATGAAACTATCATAGTTTCATCTAAATGAGGGGTTCTCAACCTTCCTAATGCTGCGACCCTTTAATACAGTTCCTCATGTTGTGGTGACCCCCCGCCAACCATAAAATCATTTTCGTTGCTACTTCATAGCTATAATTTTGCTACTGTTATGAATTGGGCGACCCTTGTGAAAGGGTCGTTCGACCCCCAAAGGGGTCACAAGGATATTACTCATGCATTCAGGTTCAAATTTAGCACTCTGTCATTTGATCTCCTTTCTTATCCATTTAAATTTGTACTAATTTTTAGTATTTTCTACTCTTTTCAATTGGGGTTTTATGTTTTGCATTGTTATTCTTGTGCTTTTTGTTTGCTTGTTTCTAATGTCTTTCTGTATATGAAATCCAGGGCAGGCATCTCTATAGAGACAGTAACTGGATTAACAGTTCCTTGGGGGCAGGGGAGATTGGTGGGAAATGGGGAGCTAATAACAATGAGTACAAGAATGAAGAAAATGTCCTAATATTGATTGTGTGATGATTGTATAACTCTTCTTGATGTGATTGGACCATTGAATTAAATGTGAATTATAAACTGTTGGAAAAAAAAGTAAAGGATATTATTCAGATAATGGTGTTTTCATTTGTTTGTAAAAATATATTTATGGCTCTTGAATAATATTTAAATTGTTGTGAGGGACAGGATTGGCTTTCTGCCTCAAAAGTTTGCCAGCCCCTGGTGGTACACTTAAGAAGGCAAAGTGTAACACACACTAAGCATTTGTTCCACCACGTTGGACATTCGGATTCTTGTCTTCTTTGATATGTGAACAGTCACACCTGGACACGATAAGAATGGAGAAGAATCAATTCATTTGAATTAGGGTGCTGGTGAAGAATACTGAAAAGTACCACGAGAAATCTGTCTTGGCAGAAGTACGGCCAAAATGTTCCTTAGAAGCAAGGCTGACCCTGGACTGTGGTGCTCTTTTCTTGCTCAGCTCATAAGGGGAGAAAGCAGCATGTCATTGCCTTGGAGTCCCAATAGAACCAAAGGCTTTATTTCTACCTGTAATTTATCTGATTTTTTCAGGAGCAAAACAAATCTTGGTAACCTCACTCAGGTCAATAGGACTCCTGGAAGCTCTACTCCACACAAGAGACTAATGTCTATGATTGCGCTTATCTCACTGAACTGTAACTTGTTTATTATTATGTTTACTCTACTGTAGGAGAAGCAAGAGTAAATGGGTAGATGTGGTGATGGTTATACTATTTTAGGATTATAAAACAGAAATGACAAAAGCTGGGAACATTCGGGGCTGATATAGGGAGAGGAGTATTGGTGTGGTAGTTACATAATTTCATATCAACTTGATATGTAGAAATACAGAGGTGGAGTCTGGCCTGCCAATCAGGTCATTAGCCTGTGGGCGTGGTCTTCTCATAAAGGAGGACCCTGTCGATCTGCCTTCACCTCGTGACTAGGAGGCACTCTGAGACTGCCGGAGTCCAGTGATGCAGCCCTGTGATGTGTCCATGACCAATGCATCCACAAGACTGCACCCACCAGCCTGTGATCTTCCTGCATTCTGCATCATTGCATGTGGCTGTGTGAGTCTGAAGGGGGACTCATGGACTTGAATTGGACTGGGCTGGGATGTTCTCCTGGTATATAACCATTTCTTGATATAAAGCTCTTTCACACACATAGATACATATATACATATGAGCGTCCCTCGAATAGTTTCTCTAGTCAACCTGGCCTAACATAATTGGCAAATAGATGAGGTCCTACAACTGAAAGCACCATGATTTCCAGTGATCCTCTCTTAGCGTCTTCTCTCACATCAGAAACAAAAATTTTAGGTTAGCATGTCAAATGAAAAAATGGAGTCAATATAGTGCACAAGGATGGAGATGGGATTTGCTACTAGGGTTCCAGCCCACACATACATGCTTATTCCAAACAAAACCAATTTACACATGTCTCTGAGAAAGAGGATGATTGCAGACAAGTACTCTCAGCAATACATGTTTTAGTCTCATTAAGGGCCCTCAAAAAAGATCCTATAAAAATTTTGCTTCTAAAGGGATCTTCTGTATCAATTAAATTCAAGCCAAAGAGGGCAGCTCAGAAGATTTTGCTGTGTTTTGGAGGGATCCCAAATGGGTCATTTTGATAAGTTTTTTCAGAAGGCACAAGATTATCATATTATCATGGGGATTTATGAGGGAAAAGTTTTAGGAAATTGTACTGGTGAGGAAAACGCCATGAAAGTTATGCCAAGGAATTTTTTTCCATCATCACAATGCACCTGCTCATTCTTGAAGGGTAGCAAGGACTGCCTTATAAGAATTTTGTTGGGAAACCTTATATCAGCCTCCCTACAGCCCTATCTTCAGCCTTCAGGCTTCTTTTTGTTCCTAAAACTCAACATTTAAAAGGAACATGACTGGTATCCCCTGAGTATGCCAATTTGCCAATTTGCCAATTTGACGTGATAAAAGTCAGAGGCCAGAACAGTTCAGGGAAGGGTTAGAGAAATGAAGGCAGTGTCTTCAATGGATGTAAACCTAGATCAGAGGTTCGCATATTTATTTGGTCTACTACCCTCTTTTTCAGGGGAAAAGTGACTTGGGACCCTTCTGGCAATTAAAAACTTGTGTACATTAGCCTATAATCCAGGTGTCTATTTCTGAAGGCACCCTCACCCCCACCCAAACCAGGGGCTGGTATCATCCACTTTGGGAAACATTGACCTAGATGAACGAATTGTCAAGAAAAAAAGATTGAACTACTAAATTGTATGCTATGTGGATCCTACCTTAATACAACTGTTTAAAAAGTAACAATAGCTTCACAATTGAATGTTTTCATTTTATAAAGTTTTTTCTGATTCTGTAGTAACACTTTTTAAACTTACCTTTAGAAAGATAGATGTGCATATAGATATAGTTATACAGTTATGTTTTCAGATCACAAAATGCCAAGGGCAAAACATGTGAAAAAACGTTTAGCTACAGATTCTTTGCCAATAAAATAGCACTTACTCAGGCAGCCATAAGTGTGGAATAACCTCTCTGTCGAGGCAAGTGTTTGAAATAACAAGATCCTCTTCTTTCCTGAACTGGAGAGCTGGAGGTTGAACTGGAGGTGCCAAAATATTTTCCAAGAAGGGAAGGTCAATCAGTTGGAGAATCCGTAACAATGTTTGTTCTTTCCAAACATCTTCCACAGCTTACAACGAAAAATAATATCACTATTAAGACTGATAAGTAGAATAGACACATTTAACCAACATTGCAAAACTAGTCTCTAAGTAAGCCAAAAAAAGCGACTTTGACATTAACACAATGGATTGATTTAATGCTAGGAAAATGTAAATTAGTTACTGGTCTTTTAATTTTCCTTTTAAAGATCGACCTTTAAGGTGACATTGGTATTGTGTACCATACTGATTCTACTTTCTGGTTGTATTGATTATAAAGAAACATTATCTCGATCTTAAGGCCAACAATAGGTTAATTCCAAATATCAAAACCTGGTGGCCGTGAGTCTAAATTATTGTACATAGCTGAGAGAATACTAATTATATTTTAATTCAAGGCAGCATAGATAATTGCAGTCTGTTGTTCTCACATGAAAATATAGTACTAGGCTGACCTTCACTTGGGTTTCTGAACATTCTTATTAAGAGGTAATCAGATTGCAACGTAACAAAGAGGAAGTGCTGAAATCCTGGTGGGGACTGAGCATGATAGTGGGACAGGAGGAGAATCAAGGGAAATAGAGGAAAGAGCTGG